CATTTGTAGGGTCCCTTGGAACAGCGACTTGTGATTGGACTGTGTCTAATTGCCACGTGTCCAACTGATATACACCCTCCCGCAAATGCTGTTTATTTGGCACAAAACTCGACATCTTCATTGTTAGAAAAAATATTTTTGTGTTGCGATATGTGTTGGTATTATGACTGGTTATTGTTGACAGATGTTCAAGCTATAAAAAAAACACAACTTTAGACATGAATGTCGGGAGCGGTGCACTTGGACACTGTGCATTTGGACACAGCCAATCACAGCACCGTGTGATTAGAGACATTTGTAGGGTCCCTTGGAACAGCGACTTGTGATTGGACTGTGTCCAATTGCCCCGTGTCCAACTGATATACACCCTGTATGTCGACTACATGTGTCGTTAGCGCCATCCATGTGTGAAACCCGGAAACTTAGTTGCGCACCTAGTAATATAGATTTTCAGTACTGGAGCCATATTCCGCAACCACTTACCAATCCGACAATTGTCGATAAGTGATTACGGAATAGGGACCCTGGCATGAAACTTCAAACGCAACAATTGTGTAAATACTCACTTAAAATAAAAAAGTACAATACTTTCAAAATGAATAAGGAACTATAACAACTCATTTTTTAATCATTATTACATCATATTATCCTTACTTTGATGTCAAATGGAAGTCATTTTGATGTTATTGTGATTTTCTGTTTTAATTTCACTCTAAAAACAAATATCCAGAGTGCATTCAGAAACGTTCTGGAGATGTCCTATAAACGTTCTATGTCCTCATGACGTATCTAAACATTTCTTATGCTGTTAGAGAAGAATCACTATAAAATCATTGCAAAATCAAGAATCCATCACATATTCATAAAAAAAACTACTATCAAATGACATCATAATGATATTTCTTGAAATGATTTTAATGTGATGTTATAGTGACATTTTTATGAGTTTGTGTTCTACTTGGGGCCTGATCAAATATAAAAAATTTTTATTTCCTTAAAAATAATGTATTTAGGGATTTCTGGTATCGCTGATTCCATTTCTGAGCACAGATCTAAATTTCGAGTCCTAAACGCAATATTGACTATATAAATAAATATAAACATATAGATTCATTCAGAGTTTTTTGTTTAGTTTTTTAATGTTTAATTTTTGCAATTTTTGAGGGAGGGAGAAATTAAGGAGGAGGGTAAGAGTGAGAGCACTGAAATATGAGAGGAAATTGGAGGAGGGAAAAGGGAATAGTTAGGCGAGGAAATGTATGAGAGAGGGGAGAGAGTGAAGAAGGAGGGGAGGGGGATGACGAAATGAGAGAGAGAGAGAGAGAGGGGTAGAGAGGAGAGAGAGAGAGAGAGAGAGAGAGACAGATACAGAGAAAGGAGAGAAGGGAAAGGATAAGAGAATTAAAAAGTACAACAGATGGATTGGAAAAGTGAAGAGGAAGGGTATTCCGGGATATTTAGAGAAAGGCTGGGAGATAGTAGATGGAGGAGAGTATATTGTGTATATATTGAGATATAGGGTGGGAAATGAAATGAAAGGAGGAAGGTATTGAGTGGAGAAAGAAGGAAGATTATGCAGGATATGCGGAAGTGAGGAGGAAACGTGGGAGCATGTATGGGAAAGATGCAGGGAACGGAAGAAAGGAGGAAGTGAGAGTTGGCAAATAGAGAGCGGATGGGTATTGGGAAGTGAGGGAGAGGGAGAAGAATGGATGAGGAAGTGCGTGCGTGCGTGCGTGCGTGCGTGCGTGCGTGCGTGCGTGCGTGTGTGTGTGTGTGTGTGTGTGGAATGGCTGAGCACGTTGGGATAACAATAGTTGAGTCGTGGATCAGGAGGGAGGGAAGAGGGGTGTAGAGTTAAGCTAGATATAAGTAGTAATAAGGTAGTTTATAAGTAGAGATAAAGTAGAGTTAGGATGTAGAAGTAAGTTAGAAATAAGGATAGAAAGGAAGGGAGCTGTAAAAAAAAAATTGTAACCCGTAGGGGATCAATAAAATAGATATATTATATTAACTGTTCAACAACATTAATATTCTTATACGTTGAATAATAAAGAAAATCGATCAATATTCTTAATTTTTGCATACTAGTGTTTCAATAAATCTGTAAAATCCAATCTTAGCATAGAAAACTACCAACAGTTGTAAAAAGAAAAACTTTCTGACGCTAAACGCAGGCAATATTAAGTCAATATTTGACAATATTAAATTTTAATGTCTATAAGACATTGTAATTCAGCGGGCATTAGACGTTTCGACAATGTCTTTTCAACGTTGAATTTACATTTCAAAATATTGATGCAATATTGCAATGTCGCAATGCAACGTTTCTGAAATGTTGATTCAACGTTTGTGTATAGGATAATTTATACTAGCCTTAGCTACATAAAAAGCTCATCTCAAATTATATGTTACAGGCATTTACCAGATCCTGAGTTGCAAGAGAGGTATCCAACAAAATATAAAGTTCTTAGTTCAATTTTTGTTTCTGTTGAGAAACAATATGGTACAAGGACACATTCCATATTATTAATTGACGGTTCGAACAATATAACATTTATCGAAGAAACGCTTATGTCTGATTTTACGTGGAAACGTCAGCAGTTTAAAAATAATTTGATGCGACAATAAACATTAATATTAAGTTGATTATTGCAATTATTTGATATAGGCGTGGTTTTTCAAGTACTATACTGGTGAAAATTTATTTGAGTTAATTCTCATGTAGCGTCTTTTGTAGGGAAAATATATCAATTAGATTAAGATAGGAGCGGAAAATGTAAGATGATAAAATAAAGATGAGAGAACAAATCGTGTGTAGTTTTGATCCAAAAAAGTTAAATCTATCGAAGACATTAATAAATCATATATTGAGTTGATGTATAAGGAGGTTTTGGATTTACGTTCAACCGCTGTAAAAGTCGGGCAAGAATTGCATTGTTTTGGCTGTATAAATTTGAAACGTTTTTGTACAATAAAAATACACATTATAACGAAATGCGCTGTGGTACTTTGGATGCCGAAAGTGCAAAAAAGTTTACATATAATAAATTAACCAGACAACACAAAATATTTATAAAATATTTACAAAATATTTATAAGATTTATTTAAATATTTTATAAATATTTGCCAAAATATTTCATAAATATTTTTATGACCTTAGATTCAATAGATCATAAATATTTTCATAAATATCATAAATATAATTATTCATAAATATAATGTGACGTGGCAGCCGTGGAGGCGCCCGTCTCAAGAATCCCGTGTCGATTATTGGAAAGAATGTTTATCGCGTGCCGTGTCGCTAACGGTTTTCGAGACCTTGCCGAGTGTCGCGTTCCGTCG